CCCACAATGCATGATTTGTCTGTAAACAGCAGGTGCATGCATAGTAAGTCACTTCAGTCATGTCCAACTCTGCAACACTATGAATAGTGGCCCAGCAGGCTTCTCTGTCCATGGGAGTCTCCAGGTAGGAATACTGGGGTGGGTTGCCATTTCCTCCTCCAGGGGATCTTCCTGACTCAGGGATCGAACTCAAGTCCCTTATGTCTCCTGCATTGGCAGGCAGTTTCTTTACCACTAGCACCACCTGGGATGCCCAAGTAGCAGGTGCAACCCCTACAGTGGAAAGAGCTCATGTTTGGACTCACACAGATCTAGTTTCGTATCCTGAGCAGATAACCTAGCCTTCCTGAGCCGTGGTTTACTCATAAGTAAAATGGGAATAAACTCCCACCTTGCAGGGTGCTTGTGAGGATCGGAGAGAACTTATGAGAAGTGCTAAGAAGGGGCAGGTATTTAACAGCCTCTCTGTGATCTGTGGGCTTTCCTGATAGCTCAGTTAGTAAAGAATCCACCTGCAACGCAGGGGACTCCAGTTCGATTCCTGGGTCAGGAAGATCCCCTGGAGAAGGCATAGGCTACCCACTCCAGTATTCTTGGGCTTCCCTTGTGGCTCAGCTGGTAAAGAATCCACCTGCAATGCAGGAGACCTGGATTCAATCCCTGGGTTGGGAAGATCCCCTGGAGAAGGGAAAGGCTACCCACCTGCAGTATTCTGGCCTGGAGATTTACATGGACTGTGTAGTCCATAGGGTCGCAAAGAGTTGGACACAACTGAGCGACTTTCACTTGTACTTTTCTGTGATCTATGTGGTGAACTTCACCCCTGCCCCTCGCCCTTTAGCCCCCGAGCCTAGCAGCTGGGTTCGAAGGAAACACAAAGCCAGGAATTCTTAGAGATAGGGCTCACCTAGTATAGCTCACCTGTCTGTTTTTTTCCCTTAAACTGCAACGGTAGAAAATATCCAACTGTGGGAAATTTTTCAATAAAAACATAAAAATATGTTCAATCCTATGTTCAGAACATGAAACTGAAATTAAGATGTATTTTTTCCCCGTCAGATTGCTAATATCATGTTGATGAGTGTGTAAGAAAGGAACTATCATATGCCTTTCTGGAGACTATCAAGTTGAACAGACTATTTGAAGGTCAATTTGGCAGTACATATCAAACGTTAAGAAGTGGATACTTCTCAGACCAAGGAATTCTATTTAAGGAATCTGCCTTACAGAAATACCAGCACAGATACCCAAAGGATGTTCACTGAGTCAAATACTAGCCAGACACTGGAAATGATTTTAATGTCCGTCAGTTGTAGGTTGATTAAATCCATGTGGTTTATCCAGATTATGAGACACTAACACTGTAGCCATTAAAAAGAATGGGTGACTTAAGAGGTACTGCTGCTAAGTCACTTCAGTCATGTCCGACTCTGTGCGACCCCATCCCTGGGATTCTCCAGGCAAGAGTACTGGAGTGGGGTGCCATTGCCTTCTCCGCTTAAGAGATACAAACTATATAAAATAAATAAGCTACAGGGATATATTGTACAGCACAGGGAATATTGCCAATATTTTATTTGAATTACTATGTTGTATACCTGAAACTAATACAATATTGTAAACCAACTGTACCTCAGTTTAAAAAAAAGATTGGAGACCCAGAGGAATCAGGTGGAGAGGGAGGTGGGAGGGGGGATCGGGATGGGGAATACATGTGACTCCATGGCTGATTCATGTCAATGTATGACAAAACCCACTGAAATGTTGTGAAGTAATTAGCCTTCAACTAATAAAAATAAATGAAAAGAAAAAAAAAAGTTAAAATAAATAAATAAATAAAAGATTGGGTGACTTCAGGGTGATGAAAATGTTTTCAAACTAGAGGTGGTGGTTGCGTGACACTGTGAATGTACTAAAGTCCACTGACTTGTTCACTGTAAAAGTGGTTAATTTCATATGATGTGCCTTGTCCCTGCATAAATTCTTCTTTTTTTTCAATTCTTCTTTTTTTTAAGAGTGAGTCATAACATGGAGAGACATGCTGTTGAGTGAAAAGAGAAGATGTCGTGTTTTCTGTGAATGTTAGCAAATGCATAGAGAAGGTTCAGAGAGATGTCAAACTTACAGCAGTCACTTCTAGAAAGTGGACTTAGAAAAATGAGGGGATTGGTACTTAATTTTATATACTTATACATGAAAATTCAAAGTTAGCATACAAGACTTTCAACCTGGTGGTGGAGAGGGGAAATTTGAAGTTGGTCAGGGACTGAAAACGTAACAAAGAAGGCGGTTGATGCCCTCAAGTGAAAGTGGAAAACATCTTTCATTTTGAATCTTCCTTTTCGTGTTTTCCTCTCCTTCTGCTCTGCAGTTCCCGCCCCAGCTGGCATCAGAGCCGCAAACTGAGATGAGAGAGTCTCTTGGTGACTCACTTTGCTTGTTGTGACCTTCTGTGCCTGTAGCTAATTGATTTTTAGTGCTGGAGACATCTGCGCGCAGTAGTCTGGTCACTGTTTATTATAAGGGCCTGTTTTCAAGAGATCCCAAGGATTTGCAAGATACTGTTAGTGAACTGTATTTGGAGCAAGTGCTTTCTTGGCCAGCCCTGGGCTGGTCCAGTGATTGTGAGCTCACCCATGAGCCCAGAAGCTCACAGACACCTGTGCCAGCCTGCAGAACTGTGGTGCTGTTTGAAGCATCCTGCTTCCAGGAAGTTGTGGTCATACTCTGAAGCCCCTTGGCAGTCTCTTTTTAAATTTGTCATTTACTCATTTTTCTCAATTGATGAAAAATTGTAAACTAGGTAAAAAAAAATACCTATAATGTAATCAGACAAAAACTGTAGAATTTTGTTGTGTTCCTTCTGTATCTTCGCTCATGTGCACTTTATAAAGTGTTCGTGTACAGATTTGAATTCTGATTTTATTTTGACTTACAAAGAAGAGAGTTTTAGCTGTTAAAACTATCTCAAAAAAAAAACCAAACACAGAACTATCTCAAAATTGTCTTATTGGCTAGATAACATTCTATCAAGCAGATGTGCGTGTGTGTGTGCAGGCTCTTTGTGACCCCAAGGACTGTAGCCTGCCAGGCTTCCCTGTCCGTGGGGATTCTCCAGGCAAGAATTCTGGAGTGGGTTGCCAGGCCCTCCTCCAGAGGATTTCCCAACCCAGGGATCATACCCAAGTCTTCTCCTGTGTCTCCTGCATTGACAGGCGGTTTCTCTACCACAGTGCCACCTGAGAAGCAGATGAATTCTAATGTACTCAACGATGTTATGGATAGTTCTTGTTATGGATAGTTCTTTTAAAATATACTTTCTTAAATTTTATTGTTGAATCTCAAAATATTTGAAAGCTACCTTAGAAGGTCTCAGTGATGATGACTCATATTTCACATGCAAAATCAGTTCCTACCCTCAGAAGTTTCTAGTTCAAAGCAGATGACCTAAGTATCATGAAGTATCATCATCACTATATCAGAGATATGTCCAAATGGTTCTGGGAAAGGATGGGAGAACATTGGTACAGGCCCCCTAGAGGAGGTGTTTGCATTATACCTATATCAAGGACAGTTAGGAGTTAGCCAGCAAGGCAAAGAAAGAAAAACATTCCAGAAAAAGAAGACTGCTTGAAGGAAGCACAAGTGGCAGAGCATGGTAGGTACATTTAGGGCATATCCGGCAGATAACCGCATAGAGCTAGAGAATAGGGGGCTCATGGTTGAGTGGTAGGAGATGATCCTAGATGTACAGACTGTGGTCAGGTTACAAGAGAACTTCAGTGCCCAACCAAGGAGTTGGAACTTCACATTCAAGGCCACAGACATGTGGCCACAGCCATCACAGGGAACACTTGCTAAATAAGAATGTGACTTTTGAGCACAGCAACACCTCATTGCTTTGGCAACATTTCCAATAAGTGTGTTGAAATCTTCTAGGATGAAGGCTGAAGATAATGCACTCAGCTTTCTTCTTGATCATTTGCATTTGTCACGAGAAAGCACTGTGCTAGCATGTCTCAGCCACACGGGAGGACTTTGGATGAGTAGACCACCCCAAAGTCTACTAAACCTCTTTGGAAAATAAGAAAAATAAGGCGAGACTGGTGTCCTTTGCTGCCAAGGTGGTAACTGACAGAACCGAAGTTGAGGTGAATGTAAACCAAAAGGGGACTGTTTCAGCCCCTTAGTCTCTGCGTGGCTCTTCGTGGCTTAAATCACACTGAGACCCAGGGGCTCAGCTGGTGTTGGTGGAGCTTGCCGCTCCCTTCCTCCCCACCGTGAGCTCTCTCCTTTCGTTCTGTGTGTCCCTTTATGCTCTCCTGTAGCATACACAATCTTCTATGTGACCAGAGTGAGCTGCTGCAAGAAACCGCTGCTTATGTTATCTCTTGAGCTTACAGTCCTGAAGGCACGATCGTCCATTCTTTCTCCCATGGAGCACACAGCAAATTCCAGGGAATTAGGTCCCTTCTCTGAAGCAGGGTGGTGGGGTACTCTTGATTGATCAGGCCTTGGGGAGTCTGCCCAAATGAAGTGAGAGGGTTTACCCAAGGAGAGTGGGCTGTATTCCCAGAAGGAGGAGAGTTGGCCTACTAGCCAGATGTTGGGTTGGTTTGTTTTTTGAAGAACATCCACTTGTGTTAACTTTTGTTCTTCTTGAGAGCGGAGGTGTCCACGGAAGAAAGCAGAGCCCTCCCCTTGACTGAGAGCCGCCTGGGCGCACGCGTTTGACCTGAAGTGCTCTTATGCCGTGGTACACAGGGCTAGCCCAGTCTCGCAGAGCGGATACTCCCAGCACGTCTCTGAGAGCGGCCCCTTGCCCAATTTTCCTTAGCACGTAGGCGAGAGACAATGCCCTGCTTCCCAAGGCCTCGTGGCATTTTCCTCTCCTTCTTGCAAATGTCTGATTTATGTTCTGTCAGGGGCAGGAAGCCGCTCCAATGATCCACCCAGTCCTGCTGCTGTGCCTGTGACGGTTTGTTTTTCTCTTTGTTCAGCGGTCCATCAGCTTCCGCAGTGAGAGCCGTCCCGACCTCCTGGGCCCCCGACCCTGGTCCAGGAATGCTGCCCCCTCGAGCACAAAGCGGAGAGACAGCAAGCTGTGGAGTGAGACCTTCGACGTGTGCGTCAATCAGATGCTCACGTCCAAGGAAATCAAACGGCAGGAGGTAGGCTGGGGCCCCTGGAGTTAGGCGTGTGTTTGGAAAAAGGTGCACTACGGGTGAGAGCCAGGCCGGCATCTATGCCACTGTGTCCAAGTGAGTTCTTCACCGCATTGTTAGAAGGAGGACGAATGAGGATGTCAGACCTTGTAAGGAACTGAGAAGCCAGCATCCAGCTGGTTGGGTATGGCCCTGACTTTAAAAAAAAAACTTATGTGGGGACTTCCCTGATTGTCCAGTGGCTAAGACTCGGTGCCTCTGATGTAGGGAGCCCAGGTTCCATCCCTGGTCAGAGAACTAGATCCCACATGCCACAACTAAAGATCCCACATGCTGCAACTAAGACCTACAGCAGTCAAATAAATAAATATTAAAGAGGAAAAAAAGAGAAAGTGATGTGAAAATTTGATTTTACAAAGAAGATGAATCAGGAAGTGTCTGTTCACAGAAATAATCACATGAATTAATTATTATATTAATTATACCACATTAATTATTATATTAATTATATCACATTGATTATATCCTAATAGCACCTTCTGGAATATTTTAAAATATTCAGTTTATGAGACTTTGATCCAGTTTTATGGAAGACTTTAGAATGGAATGCAGTTAATTTCATTCCCTATAAATTTTTTGCATCTGTAGCTCTAGATGGCTATGATATTACTTTATAGGAACTTGTCATGTGCCAAGCTGTGCTAAACACGTCAAAGGTGTATCATCTAGGGAAATTCTTGGAATATCTTTTCTAGTAGAAAACCTGACATTGGCGAAAGGAGTAGTTGAGAACGTTCTAGGTTTTTGACTCAGCAGTTCTTTTCTAGGACTTTATCTGCCAGGCATACTTGTACATAGATCAAGCAAAGTACCTGTAAGGTTATTCATCACAGAAACATTTAAAACAGTGCCAGAAAGAACCCAAACATCTATTATCAAGGCCTGGTTCCATAATGAATGCCCATATCTTCTGTAACTATAGAAACACAGGAAGTGTTGGCTAAGTGGATAAAACAAGACACAAAATAGAGTGCTACAGTATGGTACCATTTATGTAGAAAGAAAAATGAGTGTGTGTGTATGTGTGTGTATTTGCGTGAATGTGAAAGTCACTCAGTCATGTCCAACTCTTTGCGACCCCATGGACTATACAGTCCATGGAATTTTAAAGGCCAGAATAATGGAGTGGGTAGCTTTTCCCTTCTCCAGAGGCTCTTCCCAACCCAGGGATCGAACCCAGGTCTCCTACACTGCAGGTGGGTTCTTTACCAACTGAGTCACAAGGGAAGCCCAAGAATACTGGAGTGGGTAGCTTATCCCTTCTCCAGCAGATCTTCCCGATCCAAGAATCAAACTGGGGTCTCCTGCATTGCAGGCAGATTCTTTACCAACTAAGCTATGAGGGAAGCCTTGTATTTGCTTATAGACGCATAAAATATTTCTGAAAAGACGTATAAGGAGCTGGTAACACAGTTGACTCCTGATAAGAGAACTAGGTGTCAGGGAAGGAGGCAAGAGGGAAGTTTTCACCATGTGGCCATTCCTATGCTATGAATTTTGAACCATGTCAATCTATTATCTATTTTTAAAAATGAATAGGTAATTTAAAAATAATATGTACACTAATAATATCATTTTCATAAATATTAACAGTGGCAAAATTTTAACAGTGGTTAACAAGATGATATTGTGGATCATTTAAATTTTTCCTCTGTATATTTTTCTGTGTTTTCCCAAGCATGAATAGTGTGCATATATAACTTGGACTTTCTGATAGTAGGAAGGAAAGATGGGAGGATTGGTTCTGCAGATGAGGAGATTATTAAGGTACAGGGTCACGCACCTAGAAAGCTGCAGAGGTGGGATTTGAACCCAGGTCTGTCCTACTCCAAAGCCCATGGTCTTCATGCTTTCCACCCACACAGATGCCTGCCCACCGTGTATCCCACTACAGCTTCTGTGGTCCTCCTCTCCTGGGGACCACACTGAGCTATGGTGAAACAGACATACAAGGAAATCTGAGGAAGGTCCAGTTTCCTCCTCCAGGGGATCTTCCCAACCCAGGGATCAAACCTGAGTCTCCTGCATTGGCAGGCGGCTTCTATACCACTGAGCCACCGGGGAAGCTCCCAGGGCCCAAGTAAAAATAGTTAATTGTACTGTGCCTACCCACGTCCTGGACTTGATAATGCTCTATTGTTATATAAGGTGCCACCAGTGCAGGAGGCTGAGTCATGGCTCTACAGATCCTCTTTGTATTATTTTTGTAACTCCTCATGTGAGTCTATAATTATTTCAAAATAAAAGGTTAAACAAAATATAGAGTACCAGGAGGTCATGATGTGGAAACTTTACTGGACCTTGAGAGGGGTCCCCATGCACTGGCCTCCAGCACAGCGTCCGGCCTCCACCTGTTGCCAGGGAGCACGTTCATCACCCCAGTGTTCACCAGGCCCAGGGATGCAGGTGTTCTCCACGCCTGCTGCCTCCTTCCCTCTAATTCAAAACACATGCCGTAGTCCCTGAACCATCCCCACAAACATGCAGTCCTTTAATCACATTAAGTTTGCCAATGGTTTAGATTCTTAGGTGAAAGTAAAAGACTGTTCTGTGCATCATAGCTCTGAGATTAAGATGGCTTAATAGAGCCAAATTAGAGATTGTTCGTTTACACACATTTTCACACAGCCAGCTTCTGTGATTTTATTTATTGTACAGTGTGAAGGTGAGAAGTAATTTAGGATGAATTAACTTTACCAGACATTTAGAGTGATAAAATACTGGATTCTTCCTACAGTGTAGCCTTAACACAAGTGCCTGATAGGAATAAAGCTCTCTGTTGAGATTCACCTTCTGTTGAATAGAAGGAAGACAAATTGTGATGACCCGGTTAATTATAATTCTGTATCCATCACTGAGAACAGACCCTGTATCATTTATTATGATTGCCATTCACAGCCAAGACACAGACTCACAGTCATGGCTCAAATTCTAATTATTTCACCTAAAATAACTCTGTCTTATTCAGTTGCATCAAAATTCTGTAAGTGAAAGATGACTTGTTGGATTGGAAGCATAAATGGAAACTCTTTTTCCCACAAACAGATAAGCACACTACACAGAAGTTTTGCATAATTGTTTCTTTGTAGGTTTTAGTCACTAGATACAATTGATTTAGGTTAATTTAATGTGTTAAGAATCCTGTAAAAATCCTGAAGAAATAAGCAGATTTGGGGCTTTGAGCACTGGCACCAGCATCATTTGAATTTGGTCTCATAAATGAAAGTTCAGTAAATGTGTGTTATCTTTCCTTGCAGGCAATCTTTGAGCTTTCTCAAGGAGAAGAAGATTTAATAGAGGACTTGAAATTGGCAAAAAAGGTACATTCAAATCCAGTGGTCCTTTGAGTCACCTCCTGCTTATTTTCCTCTGAGTTATTTCACAGTTCTAAGACTGTACTTTATGATCACTCTTTTTATGACTAAGACAAGTCATAAAAAAATTGAGAAGAACCTACAAACCAAGTAGTAGGGAAAATGGCTCAAAGCAAGAAGGCTCTAGACCTGACACCTTTAGGGCTGGCACCTGTGCATGTCTCTAACGCGTCAAAGAATACCTCAGTTTAATCAGAAAGTGTTCATGAGGCCTGGCTGCACATGTATTTCATTGTCCTAGAAGTCTCACAGGCAGGACTCCCTCAGCCCTGGGAGGGAATGTGCAGACGTCTGAAATTGGAATGGTGTCTTAGAAAGAAAGTCATTTGAATCCCATAAGTGGGTAAAGTCATTCATGAAGGCAGTTGAATACTGGCTTGTAAGTTAGGGTCTTTCATATGGAAACTTGTCCGTAATCACTCTGTGTGTGGGAAGGGAGAGGAAATTCATGCCTTGTAGTCTATATAATCTTGACAGCCATCCTGCCTCAAAAACCTTTCCATTCCATTGTCCCCCGTGAAGGCTAAAATCCAGACTTCCTCCTGTGACACTCACAGCTTTCTCAAAAATTGCAGGGTGGGAAAGATGCTTCCCTTCTTTTAAGTGTCCTATGTGTGTGGATGTGCTCAGTCGCTCAGTTATGTCCCACTCTTTGCGACCCCATGGGCTGTAGCCCGCCAGGCTCCTGTGTCCATGGAATTCTCCAGGCAGGAATACTCAACGTGGTTGCCATTTGCTTCTGCAGGGGACCTTCCTGACCCAGGAACCTAACTTTATGCTAATATCAAGTCCCATCTGTAGCATTTCTGAGAGATGGCCATCTGAGCTTTTGTTGGATACAGCCAACAAAATTGAGTTTGGGGCAGGGTTGAAGATGAAGAAGATGGGGAGGACAGCGAAGGCATTTAACCCTAGCAGACCTCTTGCTGGTCATAAGTCCAGCTCCTCCTTCCTCCTCCAAGCTCAACCTCCTTACCTTTTTCACTTCTATCCTTTGCTTTGCTGGTCCTGTCTTCCTGCAAACCCCTCCCTTTCATTTCAACTATCCATGTCCACCTGTCCTCCAGAAGCAAACTCAAATCCCAGTTCATTCAACAGTATTTACTACCTCCTTCTCTGTGCCAAGCACCTCATCTTTAAAATATCCCATAGCCAACCCACCTCTAATTCTCTGATCTGCTAGAGCAGTTATCATCTGGTGAATTTTTGCTGCCATGTGACGTCTCTCCTATTTTTAATCTTAAACTTTTTTTTTAACATTAATTTTTCCACACCTTTTTTTTTTTAATCTTCCCAGTGAGCTTTATAAAACTCCATGAAGGCAGGGACTCTGCAGCGCAGTCTCTGCAGCGCCTTGGGTATAATCATGTATGCATGTATTCATGATCAATCCAGTCCATCCCAAAGGAAATCAGTCCTGAATAGTCATTGAAAGGACTGATGCTGAACCTGAAACTCCAAAACTTTGGCCACCTGATGTGAGGAACTCATTGGAAAAGACCCTGATGATGGGAAAGATTGAAGGCAGGAGAAGAAGGGGACGACGGAGGACAAGATGGTCGGATGGCATCACTGACTCGATGGACATGAGTTTGAGCAAGCTCTGGGAGTTGGTGATGGACAGGGAAGCCTGGCATGCTGCAGTCCATGGGGTTGCAAGAAGTCGGACACAACTGAACAACTGAACTGAACTGTGGTTTACTTACCATTAATAAGAGGTGATAAGATTGGCAGAGATTTTGCCCTCTTTGCTTCGATTTCATAGTAAAGTATGCCAAGCACCTTTTTCCCCCTTCACAGTTTAAATATGGACCGATTGAAAAATAACCTAGTGGTAACTAATTTTGTACACAGTGGGAATTTTTCAAGCTGCTGGACCTTCAATAAAGTTAATTTTTAAAACATCATACAAATCAACTCTGCTCTATAGTTAGAATTCTTGCCCTTTCTGAGATGTGAGATATACTAGGGGGAAAAAAAAAGTTTGAAAAAATCAGCTTTGGTTTATCAACAATTGCAAAGGCTGAAGGCAATACCGGATTCTCATCTGCTCCAACTACACCCATCTGCTGTTTGTGCAGCATTATGGGAGAAGTCACTGGGGAAAACCAAATACTCTATTACTGTGTAGGGCCTCTCAGAAGCCATTTACATTAACAGCTTGCTTCCTCTGATTCTAAATGCGTGCTTCCATCTCTTGCCCTTCTTGTGCAGGCCTATCACGACCCCATGCTGAAACTCTCCATAATGACAGAACAGGAGTTGAATCAAATTTTTGGAACACTGGACTCCTTGATTCCTCTCCATGAAGGTATAATTTTGTTCCCAGGATGAGTCGTGACTTGTAGCATTAACTGAGTTGTCTTATAACAAGTCACGGTTATGTAATAACGTGAGTAACCCAGACTTTCCCAGCCCTGTTCGTATTTTGAGTGCCTAACAAAATAAGGACTCTCTTTGTTTTCTCACCAGACCTTCTTAGTCAGCTTCGAGATGTCCGCAAGCCCGATGGCTCGACTGAGCACGTTGGTCCCATCCTCGTGGGCTGGGTAAGAAAAGTTCTCTGGCTTTGACTGAAGATGATTTTCAGTAATGTCAATGGAGTTTCATTTTAGCTGGGCTTTTTTTATAGGCAAACTTTTGATTTCACTTCAGAAAAAATTAAAACAGCAAGTTTCTAGTATAATTTATCATTATATTTATTAGCCTTTATTGTCTCAGAGCATGGAAACAACTTTTTCTTATTATAAATGAACTGCATTTAAAGGTAACATGGCCTTTGTGCAATAAAAGAAGTAAAGACCCACATGAAATTGTTACTAGTTTCACATCAAATTAAGTAAAGCTAATTAATATTCACATCAGGCCAATTACAACTATAACTATTAACTCTTTTATTCTAGTGAAAATTTAAGGACAGCTTCCTGTCCATCACTAAGAAAGCTTTATTCATGCTACACACACAAAAACAATTTCTTATGGTCAAATGTCATTTCATAAACAAGGTAATAACTAAATACTGTTAATGTTTAGCCTATATCTGATCCTAAGTAACTTCTTATGAGAGCTGGGTATTATTCTGATCTGCACCCCAACATAACCTGTACCCTTTCATAACTGAAGAAATTAGTTGTGACTTTAGATTATGGTGTCTATAGGTTTTTGGTTCTGGGGCTGAGTTGGTGTTTTACCGAGCACATACAGTGGTTGTTCAGTTGTAGTTTATTTTAGACAAGGTATGCACTTGCTGTTTTGCCACAGGCCCCACTGTTCCCTATTATGCATTTCTAGTTCCCTCTGTAAGTCCTTGAGTGTTCCACCCCTGCTCCAGGTGTTTTTCATTTGTTTTGAAGCAGATAATGAAAGCAGATTACTTTGAAGACTTCTTCCAGGCAGTATTAGGTCCCTCTGATCCACACAGTGTTCCAGAATAGGCAGGAAGTGGCACAGTAGCAGAGCTAGAGTCATTCCACTGTTTGGAGAGTGTGTGAAGATTATAAATCCTGTTACCATGTGTGTTCTGTTTATCCAGTCACACTTTATTTGTATTTTAACCTTCCTAAATCTCCAGCAAGTAAGCCTTGCGATTGATCTCTCTTCTTACCTTAATGCTTCTCCATTACTGCCTTGATCAAGAAATTTGACGGTTTCATGACTTAGCTTTAGTCCAGGAGTGAGTTTTAGCACTGAGGCTGAAATATCCCAAGGGTATCTGAAAGTCAAGTAATGTTCTAAGATGAATATTTTAGAAAATGTGCCTTAATATTTCAAGAGAGATCATTTATCTTTTTTTTTTTTTACCTTCGTTTTATTATGATCCCTGGTACATGTCTTAACTTCGTTAGCCCACAAAGAAATTTCTCTAAAGAGAGTCAGCCAGCTGGAGACAGAGGAGGTGTAATGAGATGAGAGAGTCTGCCTTACTGTTTCTTAAACTTCTTCAGTCTGTGGACTGCGTTGGTGGGAGAAGGAACAACGTCAGAATGGCACGATGACCCCTCTGTTTTTGATGAGATGGCAGTGTAGAACTATAAGGTTTCCTTAGACATCATATACAAGTTGTCTGTTCATGCAAGTAGCAAAAATGAATGCAATTTGCCTTGTTACTTTTCTTTTTCTGAAATAAATGCACTTTTGTTAGGAAATTGGTTTGATTTGAGGGTAGGTTTTGTAGTCCTTTTCTGTACATACACCAAAGACGTCTGACCATGCCAGTCCATTGCTGTCTGGACACTTAGACATCAAATGGGAACTTGCAGCTTGAAGAGCAGCCTAAAATTACACAATTGGCCCATTGTTACCAGATCTCATGGGAAATGGTCCTTATTTATCAGGCCTGATGAGCTGTTAAATGTTTTCCCTCTCTTCACTGCAGATGTGTCCGTGCGAGTGGGAATTGTAAACCAAGGGGTACATCTGTTTGAGTTCTGGTCTTTTTAACAGAACAAAATAAACATCTTAGTAGACTTTGAATGAGAAAAGTCAAAGCCCATTCCACCCATGAAAAATTGATTTATTTCCCCCCAAAGGAAAAAAGTGGGCAAAAAAGCTCTTTTAAACAAGTAAGCCTCCCATGTGGGATTGCCCTGACCAGTCCTTTTGACCTTAAAATGAATCAATTGCTTTTACTTTGAAGACCTTAAAGAGAGTGGTGGGTTTTTTCAGGGAACCACCTTCATTACTGGAGATCAGTAACCATGGGCTGGCCTGTCTCATAAGCCTCCCTTTCTCATAAAGAAACAACTTCCCAAATTACATCTTCATGCTAACATTTCTTCAGTAATAAAATAATTTATCAGCGCTACAGAGCAGCAAATTCTCATGTTAATTTGAGTTCTAATTAAATTTTCATTCCAAAGAGAGAGTCAGGGTACATGGAAGCAAAAAAAAAAAAAAAAAAAAAAACCAACTTTGTTCTATCACTTTTCATAATGTTAGGAAGGTAGAAAGAATTTCTTTAAAAAAAAAAAAGAAAGCATTTCCCTTAGTCTAAAAGATGGGGAGTACTTCAGAACTCTCAGAGGTTGTGGGAAGGACAAACACGCTTCAGACTGGTTTTGTCTCCAGCTAAGCAAGTAGTTTTGCTTCTCTAAACCACAATTTCTTCAATAAAAATATTTTTGGAGTAAATAGTAATAGCTGGTAGCTACCAATTTTTAACTGGGAACCAACCTCCTGTTAATGCTTTTTATCTGCTATATCTCAACATCTCACTAAAAGAGGATATTAGTATGTGCATTTTGTAAGTGAAAGGCTTCTGAAGGGTCCCCTGACTAGTAACTCAGTTAGGCTTTGAACGTGATTCTCCCTGTTCTAGAGTTATTGCACTGTATTTGGAAACCAAGATATGTGTATTCTTCATTCCCTATCTGGTTATAGATCACTTGTGGCTTTTTCTAGCCAGTGAGCTGAATCAGATAGCTTTTCAGGTTATGCTCAGGAAATGAGGACCCTGTCAGGTGTGAACACAGGACCAGAGCCAGATTTGGTTTCCATGGCAGCAGGAGAGGCATGATCAGAGAGAGTAATGGCCCATTGGACAGCAAGCGACAGGGCAGTCAGGGTTCTTAGCTAGAGTACCTCTGATGGTTACTACTGATTTGTTTCTCCATAATGAACACATTGGGCATTTCCAAGTCTTTTTAAAAGGCAAGGAAGTGGAAATGAAATTAAGAGGGCCTGAATCTCTTTCTAATTAACTCTGAAGATCTGAGTTACAAGCCACAGTGCCACATGTGGGGTGTGTCTGTGTGTGTGTAAGTTCCAATTGTTATTACTTTCAAACACAACATAGAGAAAAGAATTTCTGTAGCCCTTTTAAATTCAAATAGAGAGGTTTTTTTGTTTTTGTTTTCATTACATGTAAGGAAGGTACATGTAAATGTACCGAGAAATGTTAAACTCAACAGTGAACTTTTTAAACATTATGCATCTAGAGTGTTTGTGTATGTGTGCATGTATATAGGCACCAGTTGTCATTACTTCCAAATATAACATTGCGAAAGGAATTTCTGTAATTCTTTTTAATACAAATAGCGATTTCTAATAACGTGTAAAGAAAGTAGACATTTCCAAGGAATGTTAAACTCGACAGTGAACTTTTTAAACTTGACTTCCATGGTATCTTGTCTGCTGTCAATCACTGAGGAAATAATTTCAATAAAAGGTGTAAAAGCAGCAGCAGAACAGTTAAACTTTGACCCATTGTTCAGATGCCGCTGCAACTCGTTTTTAAGCTGAGTTCACAAACCATCAAATATTATCTAATCCAGGAATCCATTAAATGTTAATTTATTAGTTCATTCAAAATACGAACTTTGTCTGCTGTATAGTGGGCCTAGTACACAGCACTGAGGATGCAAAAATGAAAGACCCTCTTGCCACCATCTCACACTAGATCATTCTACAGAACAGGCATTGTGGTAGATGTGACTTCCTAGTCCAGGGAGGGAAGCAAACACCGCAGGACCATTGGCTGCATCTTATTGCCTCTGATGACCTTCTGGAAGCTGACAGCTTGTACATGAGGGTGCCATCATAGGGAGGAGTGGAAAGGGGAGATGAGCAGCCCTTTCACTGAGTCTTTGACCTTGTATTTGCACCTTGTGACTAATGGGATATGTCATGAAAATTAGTATTTAGCTGGAAGGAAGATGGTGGACTCAAAAGTGTTCCAGTGTCTTAAAATTTATTCTTTGCCTAGGGCTTCCCTGGTGACTCAGTGGTAAAGCAACTACCTGCCAATGCAGGTGATGCAGGTTCAATCCCCAGGTGGGGGGAAGGGTGGAGAGCCCTGGAGAAGGAAATGGAAATGTTGGCCCTCCAGTATTCTTGCCTGAAACAGCCCATGGACAGAGGAGCCTGGCAGACTACAGGCCAAAGGATCACAAAAGAATCAGCCAGGATTTAGTGACTAAACAACAACAACAAAATTCTTTGCATGGAATTGTGATATTAACCATAAGGTATATTCTGGCCTGTCAGAACTAATTTAAAAGACATTTGTAAATGGTTTCTGCATCTCATTTTTTACTCATTATAATTTTGTTTTAACTTCTTGGATTTCTTTATAATTGGTCTGCCTTGGAATCAAGAACTTTAAAACCAATGTAGGTAGAGGTGCTTGCTCTGGGCCTTGCAAAGGTCTGGGCTGTGGGGTATGACTCCTTTCTTTTTGTACCACCAACTCTTCTAGATTAGTTTCTTATTAATAATTTTAAGGAACAGGAAGAGGACGAAAAAAATAACCGTCTGCGACGCCGAGTCGAGCCAGACCCGCAGCCACCATGAACAGCAAAGGTCAATATCCAACGCAGCCAACTTACCCCGTGCAGCCTCCTGGGAACCCTGTGTACCCTCAGACCTTGCATCTTCCTCAGGCTCCACCTTATACTGATGCTCCACCTGCCTACTCAGAGCTGTATCGTCCGAGCTTTGTGCACCCAGGGGCTGCCACCGTCCCCACCATGTCAGCTGCATTTCCTGGCGCCTCACTGTATCTTCCCATGGCCCAGTCTGTGGCTGTTGGACCTTTCGGTTCCACAATCCCCATGGCTTATTATCCAGTTGGTCCCATCTGTCCACCTGGTTCAACAGTGCTGGTGGAAGGAGAGTATGATGCAGGGGCCAGATTTGGAGCTGGCGCTACTGCTGGAAACATTCTCCTCCTCCCCCTGGATGCCCTCCCAATGCTGCTCAGCTGGCAGTCATGCAGGGAGCCAGTGTCCTCGTAACTCAGCGGAAGGGAAACTTCTTCATGGGTGGCTCAGATGGTGGCTACACCATCTGGTGAAGAACCAAGGCCATCTCTATGCCGGGAAAGACATCACATACCTTCAGCACTTCTCACAATGTAACTGCTTTAGTCATATTAACCTGAAGTTGCAGTTTAGACACATGTTGTTGGGGTGTCTTTCTGGTGCCCAAACTTTCAGGCACTTTTCAAACTTAATAAGGAACCATGTAATGGTAGCAGTACCTCTCTAAAACATTTTGAGGTAGGGGAGGTATCCATTCATAAAATGAATGTGGGTAAAGCAGCCCTAAGGATCTTCCTTTAATTCCTCTGGAGTAATACTGTACCATACTGGTCTTTGCTTTTAGTAATAAATCATCAAATTAGGTTTGGAGGGAACTTTGATCTTCCTAAGAATTAAAGTTGCCAAATTATTCTGATTGGTCTTTAGTCTCCTTTAAGTCTTTGATTTATATTACTTGTTATAAACAAACCAGATTAGTTGTCTGCCTTTTCCTTTCCATCCTTTGCCCCTGGTCCTACTCTCAATCCTTGTCTTCCACTCTTTCCCACCAATCTCCATTGAATCAATGGTGCAGGACAGAAAGCCAGTCAGACTAATTTCCTTCTCTCCTTGCACTTTCCCCCACTTGTCATCTTTTAACTAGTCTTTCACAAAGGATCCTCTGAAACCCCCTCTGTGCCCCAAGCACAGGACCCATTTCTTCTGCTCAAAAGCGGAGGGTGATTTTTGGACCCTCCTCATAGGTTTTCTCTTCAGACACGAACCAAACCCAAATTTGTTTTGGTGCCAGAAAAACTGAACCTTGTTTTAACAAAGGATACCAGTGCAAACTGTACCTTAAACAGCAGTTGGTTTATAAATGTTGAGGGACAAGGAGGAGGATGCATTTAAAAGCCTGATGACTCTGGAGCCAAATTAAGGGGAGTTTGCAGATCAGAAATTGGTTACCATTTCTTGTCAGTGTCTGATGTAGCCACTCATGGCTCCCAAGAATTCCTCAGCTGGGTTAATGGGGTCATATTGTGAATGCCTCACTACTAAATGACTTGAGTCCAGTGAAATCTCATTAGGGTTAAGAATATTTCAGGGATCCTTAATATTTTGATTTTTGCTTTCTAAAATTGGATTTTATTTTATTTTATCTTATAATTTCAGTTCATCTAAATTTGTGTTCTGTACATGTGATGTTTGACTGTACCATTGACTGTTATGGAAGTTCAGCGTTGTATGTCTCTCTTTACACTGTGGTGCACTTAACTTGTGGATTTTTTATACTAAAAATGTAGAATAAAGACTTTTGAAGATTTGAAAAAAAATAATAATTTTAAAAGAACCCTCATTAAAAAATTTTTTTTTCCTCTCACCAGATACTTTTGAAAGTTTAAGACAATTCTGTATGCATATGCAGTAATCCCCATTGAGGAAAATTCTGAATTGTGCGCATAAACAGTAATTCCAGCTCTTTTGAGTCTAGCTTAGATTGACAGAAATGCAAACAAATTATTGAGGTCTTAATAATCAAGAAAGTAAACTTGCCACTGAGAAAATAACTGTGCAAGCAAGCGGGAGCCTAAAGAGCTATCTGTCTATTGCCTGACATTTTGAAGATTCTATGTGTGTCTCCTCCAGGCCTGCAAACAGAGAGATGTTGGGCAGGCCTGGAGACCAGTTAGGCTTTGTTCAGTTCCAATGAGTGATGTCAGCGTGTAGCCTCAGAGCATACTTATTCTAATGCTGCACCCCTCCTTTCATGTTCCTTTCTTAGCTACCTTGTCTCAGCTCCTATGACAGCTACTGCAGCAATCAGGTAGCTGCCAAAGCTCTGCTGGACCACAAAAAACAAGATCACCGAGTCCAAGATTTCCTGCAGCGATGTTTAGAATCCCCCTTTAGCCGAAAACTAGATCTCTGGAATTTCCTGGATATTCCAAGAAGCCGTCTGGTGAAATACCCTCTGCTGCTTCGAGAAATCTTGAGGCACACACCAAATGATAATCCAGATCAGCAGCACCTGGAAGAAGCTGTGAGTTTCTTTCTCTCCTTGGTATTTCCCCAGCGGCTGGAAGATGGGGTACATGTGTGAATGAAGGGTCCCTGGGTACCAGGACACAGGAATCTTGGGTTCAGGGCTTGACTCTAATATCAAACATGTTTTGATTTAGTGAATCAGTGCTATTCCTAATCTGTGAAATGCAGCATTTACATAAAATGCACTCTAAAGTCCCTTTGATTCTAAACTTTCTTGATTCTGAATAGGTGACTTTGTAATCTGTTTGTTGCAGTTCCTGATTATTAGGGTAAGATCTCTGTAGAGATTTTAAATTGAATAGCTTTGTTTAGTTAGCAAATGGAAGTTGCCTTTTGCCTTTTACCGAAGCCCATTTGTGAAGTCAGCACCCACTTGAAACCCAATTGTCCTTGGCCCCAGATTGATGCATGGAGCCTAGTCAAATCTATTTACCAGCGACTGTATTGGGTATGGGGTTGGGTGGTTTGGGAAATATGGATTCTTCCCTCGCAGCAGTGTAAGACCAGGAGAAATTGGATCCATATCATGGGATGTGGTGACCTGTGACATTCTGCCCAGAGAGCTCAGTTCTGGCTGCGGTGCTCTGCAGGACAGGGCAGAGGAGATGACAGGCCAGAGGCGCAAACAGCCAGGGCAGAGGTGTAAAGAAGTGACAGGGTACGTCATGCCAGCGAGTGCCATTCATCAGTTTGCCTGGGGTTGATAATAGTCAGAAAACAGCAAGAGAAGGGACTGAGGGTGGTGGTTCACATTGGGTATACGGTTGTAAATATCCATTTGAGACCCTTTTCCTTTCTTGTGCTTTTGTTTCTCAAGTAGCCTAGATTCAGGTTCAAATTCCAGCACCGTCACTGGCAAGCTGTGTGATCTTGGAGCGCAGGGGACAGCAGAGACTAGGGGCAGGGAAGCAAGTGGGGAGGATGTTGCAGTGGTCCAGATGCATAGTCTTGGAAACCTGCTCAGGGAGTTAGCAGTGAGGATGCAGGCTAAGAGACCAGTTCTAATAGTTCATTCCCTGACTGGATCTGGGACAGTAACAAGCTGATAAACAGAGGTGATTGGAAAGTCAATCAGAAGCCTTGAGTCTGTGGAGCAAACTGCCTATTTCTTCCCAGAGAGGGGCTTAATAACATCGGGTTGGCCAAAGAGTTTTCTGTAAGATGGTATGGGGAAAACCTAAATGTACCTTTTGGCCAACTCAATAGTAATTAGTAACAACAACAGTAGTAAATAGTAACAGCAACAACAATAATAACAATAACACCTGCTGACATGTATTGAATACCTAGTAAATTAGCTTTATGTGATGGTCTAATGGCTTGTGTATCTCACTTAACCCTCATACTAACCTGTGAGAAAGCTGTTCATGTTAGGGCCATTCTCCTTTTCCAGATAAGGCGTGGGGGCATTAAATAATTCGCCCAAGTCTGGGCCAACAAGTAATGGAGTTGATATCCAAACCTCGTGAGTGTAGACTGCCAGTCTTACGACTTCTCCACTTCTTCATGCTCCTCTGCCACAGAGCTGAAAGCCTGGCTACTTTTTTAAGCCCCTGTTGCCTCTGGAACTACAGAAATCTGTCTGGCTACGAGACTTTATGGAGGGCCTCACCAGTCCAGAGCTGGGCCAGTTGTCTGTGTAGGGACAGAGAAGAACAGGAAAGACTCTCCTGATTCACAGGGTATTTGAGGTGTGTGGCAGGCCCAGCATACAGACCAGGCTCCCAGTCCAGCACAGTGGGGAGTGCAGGCAATAGAGAAGAGGCACCGCTCACTTCTTCATGTCTGGTTTTATTACTCGGAAGAGCAATACTCTGGCCTCCTCTCCATATTTCATCCCAGCAAGTGTGTGGTCTGTAAGAATGAGAACAACAGGGAACTGGACCTAGTCTAAATAATTACTTTTGTGAAGAACACAAGCTTGCTCTGAGTTTTCCAGTAAAGATTTCTTCTTTTTAAAATGCAGCATGAAAGAATAATGCTTTGTTCAAAAACAAGAAAAAGAAAAAACCAGTAAGCTAAAGTTCGAATTTAAAAACAGATAAGAATATGATTGTTTGCAATACACCAGTTTCGTTAGTGCATAAAATTCTGCAGGCTAATTTACCAAGTTCTTCAGGCAAATTTACGTGTGAAGCCTGCAAAGCAAGTCTTCTGAATGTCCATTTACACTGTATAGGCACAGCAATTTTTTTTCCTCTTCTCTACAAAATCCTTGTGGCATTATCCTGGATGAACAGAAATGTTTAGCCCTGTCCTCTTGAGTGCATCGTGAGTGTTTGATAACCGTAAAATCCACACTACCATCATAGCTTGACTAATATGTCCCCTGAATAAATTTTCCTCCTATGAGAAGGAAAAACTCAGGGAACTCTAAATAAATTGCTTCTACACCAAGCATTCAGTCTTATGATTAGATCTAAAGAACGATCTTGCTTTTTAATGTAGTGTGTAAACTACCACATCTGTATTAGAATTGCTTAATAGTGCTTTGAAAGGTTGATAGAAATTTCCCCCCAGAGAGAACATCTTAAAATAGGACTTTGGATACTTGTATATTCCAGATCTGGTTGTTTAATGTTTTGTATTCTAAGGATTGTTTCAGTCAGAAAATTATCCTGCAAACCATCTCTTTCTTCTGCCTGCCACTGCTCCAATTCCCGCCCCCCCCCCCCCAAAAAAAAAATCACTGGAATCAATGGAAAGAACAGTCCTTTTTTTTTTTTGATGCAACAACAGTGAAGCCTGCTCTTCTTGGTCCATGTCAGGAGCCAGCAAGTAGATGATATTACCACACAAGGGGCCAGACAGACAGGGCTTTCGGAGTCTACATTGAGGATGACAATTCCAGCATGTGGGGGCTTAATCCTTATTCTTTTACGGATATCTTTCATCATGTCACTTTACCAGCCCCTGCCCTTCAGCGTGAACCCAAATGAGAAATGCAACGATAAATTTAATTTAAATGCACAACTACCATGACTGTTGGTTATTGGCAATATCCTATGTGTAACTTTATTCCTTGCTGCAATTCTGCAAAATAGATTCCTCTCGAGAACTGGTACAGAGAGATTAGACATGGCATGCAGGTATATTAGTTATGTATACAACTGAATATAAATACAAAAGCAGTATTTTCAATAAATGAAAGCAGAAAACCAGAGTCACTACAATAAATACAGATACAGAATATGGAATAACACCAAATGTTTCCATTCTTTTGTCTCTTTTTATTTTTTTTCAAACTCCAGAGAAAGAAGCAGCATCTGAGAGTAGTCATAGCTGCCTAAGGAAGCACTGTGGCTTTTGAGTTTATTCATCTTCATGTGATATGCCAGCTGTTCAGTTCCTGAGTTAAATTAGGAAATGAACGTAGCTTTATGCCTATAGTACATCCTCTTCTGGTTTCCTGGATTCTTGCAGGAAATTCAGAAAATTGACTCAAATACTGATTAATTCCAGCTGCCCAGGTACACCTAGTAATGTCTGATAAGATGAGCCACAGCACTTAATGCTCAGTCTTTAAAAACAAGGGAAAAAAAAAAACACAAGGGAGAAGTATGAGTTTCAATTCACATTAAAAATGTAATAAAGTAGAAAAATAAGCTAGATGTAGAACAATTGTTCAGATACTGTCCACGTATTTTCAGTTTCTTGAGGGCAGGGACCCTGTCTCGTTTCCTTGAATGCCACCACCTAGTCAGACACTGAACAGATGCTCAACAAGCATTAATTGAATTAATTTGCAAGATGACTCATAGCTTCAGTGTATTTTCTGAAATTTATTTTCTGTTTGTTTTTGAAAGCAACAAATAATCAGTCATCTTTGAATACCAAGGAGGGGAGAAACAAGGAGAAAGTTTAGGTACCAAAGTGTACCATTTATTACTTGTTTTGTTTTACTGAAACTCAGATTAATTTCACAGGACTTGTACTTAACTTTAGGTTGACATCAAAGACCAAAAAAATTCTTTTTTTTTTTTTAAATTCTTTATATGACGTAAAGAACCTATACTTTAAAAAATAATGTGTTTTGTTTAAAATTATCAAGTAGTACTACACTCATTCAGAAAACAAAGAAAAGAATAAATAAATGATCTTTGAAACTGTTAGTAGCTAAAGCGTGTAGAGATTATACCTCTATCCTTAGGATGCAGTCACTAGACATCAGCTCAAAGCTAAAAGATCTTCTGTTGAACTGCATGGAAGTGCCAAAGCTATAACTGGGTAGAAGTTTTTAATCCAGTGTCTTTGGGCATAAGGCACGTGAAAAATAATTACTTAACAATCTTAGAATTCACTGCCACTTAAACAAGGTCTGGTAGCTTTTTGCTGAGTAAAGGCCTCTTTTAAAACCTTGATTTTCAAAGGCTGGTCTGTTTTTCCATTAAATCAATGCAACCAAGAAGAGGCCTTACTAATATTTCTCATCTGTTAAGTTGTATTCTGTTAATCCCACCACAAGAAAGATGGGCCTGTTGGTCTTTTCACTACTAGGGGACAGAAGTCTCTGCTGAGGAAGTCATTCCTTTGCCTTGGATTGGTGTCTCTGAGTTTTTTTCTCAACTAATTTCTTGCTCCTTTTTTCTAGAATTTTCTTATTTTTAGATGTATCATTCACATGCTAAAACACCACCACATTGGGGTAAATGCCCACTGCCCATGTCTCAGTGTTGTTCTCTTGTTTTGTTTTGCTTCCTTTTGTATTTAACCATAATGCATCCACCATTGCTTTGAAATCACTCTACCCCTGTCTTAGTTGAGTGTGCTGTAGGAATGGGCACGAGTGTATATAGACAAATCATCTCCATTCTTACTCCTAGTGTCCATTTCCTTTCATTCCTAGTTCTCCGCCCTTCATACATGAGTTATGTTTTGTCACTAAATGATACCCAAACCATTTATTCACACCCCATTTGGATGTGTTGTTTGTAGGTTAGATTGAATACATGTAGAGAGACCTTGGAACTAGGTTTCAAATCCACATAGGACCATCCCTTTTCTGGACTGTTACATTCTGCTTTGTTTTCTCTCCTTGGCTGCATTTTTTGTGTGTATGCCTACATTTTCTACCTTGTTGAGCACATGTTAAGAAATGTGTGATACAGAGTCTAGTGGCTATAAGTCCTGCACATTGAAAGTAGTGCTTTACATTTCTTTCTCTCAGACAAAATTCTGCATCAACATTAGTTTTATATTTAATACAAATATAGATGTGTGTGCGTGTGTACAAATGAATATATATGTATGTATTTAACTGACTCGATGGACATGAGTCTGAGTAAACTCCAGGAATTGGTGATGGACAGGGAGGCCTGTTGTGCTGCGATTCATGGGGTCGCAGAGAGTCGGACACGACTGAGCGACTGAACTGAACTGAACTGTTATGTGTACATCTATATAGATGGTATATGGATAGATAGATACGGTATGTTAAAAGCATTTTTCCCCCTTTTCCCAAAGCAGCAGCTTGGATAATGGGATCTCAGAATTAGATCCAAGTGTATCTTAGCGACTTTCTAAGGTCAAGTCCCTGGGCCTTGTTGATGTGAATGGTTTGCTTACTTTCCCCATACTTCCTTTTTGTTTTTACAGATAAACATCATTCAGGGAATTGTGGCAGAAATCAACACCAAGACTGGAGAATCTGAATGCCGCTATTATAAAGAGCGACTTCTTTACTTGGAGGAAGGCCAGAAAGACTCCCTAATCGACAACTCAAAGGTGCTGTGTTGTCATGGTGAACTGAAGAACAACCGAGGCGTGGTGAGTAGTTGCTCTCCTTCAGTAATTTCATCCTGAGCCTCCCTTATTCCTTCATCCATGTGGTATTGAGCCTCCTATTACCGTGCCTGTCCTAAGCAGGGTCATGTTTTTTAGACAAAAACTTTTATATCACAGGATCATATATTATTAAATTTGTTTTATATATTATATATACATATATTTAAAATTTCATCACCAGTACACATTCAGAAAAATTTTGGAAACCATCATAGAGTTGCCAGCTTCTGTTGTTTGGTCATGACCCTCAAAAACAAACACAAAACAATTACTGTCTCCTCCCACTTTGCTATCAGCCAGTAATAGAAGATTTTAACAGGATGTTAAAAGTATATGATCTCAGAAAAATAGATAATTCTTTAATTGAATTCATTTAGCTTTATGAGAAATTCTTCTTACGAGTTGGTACCTATCCACAAACTGACATTTTGAGACCAGTTTTTTATTTTTGTGTTTTGTTTTAAATAACAACCTACCTGCCATCAGCTCTACTTCTTTTTTTAGCTCTGACTTATAAACACTCCATTTCCTTGCTTTTATTCTTCTGTACATATTGAAATTGTTCCTCCTCTGCTATCATAGCAACTTGCACAAATCTCCCCTGGAGGGCTTACTACGGTGGGTTGTGATTCTCCATTTGTCTGTTAGTATTTCCCACTTTATCATGCTCTTTTAGGGTGGAGACTGTGCCTTGTCAGTCCCTTTCATGGGGACCTGATATATCCTAAGGCACTGAGTAGTGTTAGGTGAATATGTGAGTGAATGAATGAATGAATACTTAACATAAAGGAAAAATGGATGTGAATTACATGAGAGATCAAAATTGAGTCAATGCACCAGGCTTTTTTTTAATATGTAACAATAGAAAATAATGCTGATATGTAGTATTTCTATGATTTTTATACATTTATATATAACATGTTTTATATATCAATAGTACTATATATAATATATGTTCATATTTTAGCATTGAGAAAGCCATTGAGACACTCTCCACTTCTCTTTTGTTTCATCTTTAGCATCTAGCGAACCCTTAGAATGAGAGCCAAAACTTGATGGAAAAGCTTTTAATAAAGCTTTGATGATTCAGAGGCTGCCTTTTTGACCTTGGCTATAAAGTGGCATTTATGAGCAGGCTTGGAAATGGTATTTGAAATCACTGAGGACATGTCATAACATCCATTATCAGTGCTGCTGTAGATCTAACCAGTTGATGTTGCAACAAAGGTTGTGAGACCTGTCACAGGCCACTGCTTGAAGAGATGTTTCTCTTTGACTGGGAGTTACTGATTGCCAGGCAACTGCATTCTGCTTTTTGCTGATTTTTGGAAAGCACTGGTAGACTTCTAATGGCTAATGCTCCAACTCCTTGAGCACTGTTCCTCAGAAGCCCTGTAACAAGTAGAAAGGAGCATCGCTGTATGGAATGGGGGCCTGTCTTCCTCCTGTCCATCAGTCAAGGGCTGAGACTCTGGTTGGCTGTGCCTAGGTCATTAAAGATGACCCCTACCTAGTTCATGTTTCAGGCAGATTGATTTTTGAAAACAAAGATTTTAATTGGAGTGGGGCACTCGTTTTTATTTGTTTGCTTTTTCCTGTAGAGGTGTAAAAGTCATTATGAATAAAGTCATGAGTCAGAAAAAAAAAAATTCTTAATAGCTTGAGGGCAGGAAGGAGCTGCAACCAAGAAGAGGAACTCTCAGTGAACATTCATAAACAGGGAATGTTTTTTTAAAAGTTGCCCAGATAATCAATGTTCAAACCTCCTACCTTGGCTAGAAGAGTGATTGAAGTAGAAGCAGTGTAAAAATCTCTGATTATTTTTAGTATATGAAACAGTGACTAACACCTCCCTTCACCAACTCCCATTATCATTCTCTCTACCATTCCCCTCCACCACCAAAGAAAAAAGCCCTTAACTTTTCTCCCTTTGTGCTTTTCTCTGTTTTTCAGTCTTCAGACCTGCCCCTACCCCAAATACACACCAATACAGAACCACCATCCTTTGTTTCCACAAACCAACATTTGGTTGAGCTTCAGTTTCTGCAGTTTTTGATGTATGTGTGTGTGTATCTGTCCATCCATCAGTCTGTGGCAGGGTGGGGGTAGATGGCCCACAAGTATCTTTTCTTCCAAATGTAAAATTATCTGATAACACTGAAAGTGCTTCCCTGACCCCAAGTCAAGAGTCTAGTGTGAATTTTCAGCCTTATTCTTCTGGTCTCCTCCTTGAAACTCCTGGGCTGACATTCCCAAATATTACCACTGGAAAACCAGAACCTAGCTGCAGAGTCATGGATCGTCTCACTTCAACTCCTAAGCATTTCCAAGCTGTGGGAAGAGTCTGGCACTTGGAGTTGAATGGAGCCAATTTACTCCAGCTCCACTCAGGAAAATTGCTTTTGTAATGTGGTTTTGAGACAAGCCTTTATTTTCAAGATTCTTTTTTTTGCCCACAACACACACATCAGTCATCAGCCTTTTAAGTACAACCTCTTTGGAGAACTGAGGTTCTTATGAACTTTGTCAAGAAGGACAAGTGCTTTGATCGTCTTTCTTCGTGGCTACAGCTGCATACTCTGGTTTCCTGGGGAATGGGCAGTGTTCCGAGCCGGGTGCCTGGGTGAAGCTGATAATCAGCTGTGTGGTGGAATGAACAAGTGTTTTACGGGTTTGAGAAGCAAAGATTTAGGCTCAGATATACCAGTCTCATCTTTTATGGACTGTTACTCATTTTGATCTCTTAGAATTGTACTGGATATAATAAACCAAAGCCAGAAAAGGACTGACTTTTTTTTCCCTTCATTACACCCTTTGTTCTATGGGGTTTCTCTCTCTCTCTTTCTTTTTTAATGTTCCTGTAATAAAAGTACTAGAGACCATGTATGCCTGCATGTGTTGTGAATTGTGAACACCCCTGGAGCTGGCAGACCTGACTGCAGGTGTCTGTAGGCAGAAAGGTCCTCTGGGGCGCTAGGGAGGGCAGGCAATGGATGCATCTGGAAACGCCTGCAACCCCCAACTGCTGTTCTCCTGGAGGTAGGTTTGAGCCAGAGAAGTTCATAGGTCAGTTTGAAGCTGGTACCCAGGGAGCTGTTATCCCCAGAGGTCTACTTATCAACTCCTTAGATGATTGCTTAAGGGAATCCTGTGTGTTCTTTTCTTCCAGAAACTACATGTCTTCCTCTTCCAAGAAGTGCTCGTCATCACCCGCGCCGTTACCCACAATGAGCAGCTCTGTTACCAGCTGTACCGGCAGCCTATCCCCATGAAGGACCTGCTGCTGGAAGACCTGCAGGATGGGGAAGTGAGGCTGGGCGGCTCCCTGCGAGGCGCGTTCAGCAACAATGAGAGAAGTACGGGTGGCTGTCCCTCTTGACCTGTGGAGTGTCTTTGGTAGTGGTGGTTTGGAGGGAATGGCCGGCTGGTGAAAGAGACAAGCTGTGGCCTTGGAGGCAAATTGCGTCTCAGTTGTGTTTCATCACTTAGAGCTTGTGTAACCTTACTCAACCTCCAGGGGCCTTTGTTTCCCATCTGCAAAGTGGGATGCATGCAGACCTACTTCATAGGATTGTTCTGAGGATTAAGTGAGACCCTGGGAGTTGACCTGTCTGTCCCGCATGACTGCTGCCCACTATGCTCCCTTCCTCTGACTGCTTCCACTGGATAAAAGCCTTCTTAAGACCAGACTGTCCCTATGTGACTGCAGCTGCTTAACAGTGGGTGTTCACATAGCTGACTTGTGTCTAAAGAGGCACAGCTATGGTCAACTGGGCCGAGGGTTTATCTGTAATTACTCAAATGGGCTTCTCTGACTCGAGATTTAGTAAACAAAGGAATTAACCAAGAGAATCTTAGATGGCAGTGTCTATCTAGGGTCTTCTATGTGTTAAACACTGTGCCAGACACTGGTATACACTGGTCTACCACACAGGTCAATTTTGGGGGAGTCCTGTGGAATTTACCTTCTGATGGAGGAGATAGATGAGAAATAGCTAAATATTCCGGGTGTGTTTAAAAAAAAAAAACAACTAAAACCCATTAAGGGGATAGAAAATAGCAATAAGAGATCTGTTTAAGATGCAGTGGTCAGGGAAGTCTTCTTTGAGCAAGTAACATTTGAGCCTCGGGTTAATATTGGTGTCATACTGTCCAAGTAGTTAATATACGCTGCCTCTTACCTCCGCACCAGCCCCTCTGCCCTAGTGATAGTACTGTAGTACTTATATTTCTCTAGTAGCAATGCAGGAGCATTTACGTATGTTATCATGTTTATCCCTCATAATAACCATCTAAGGTTGAATCTCTTTGTTTTCCTCATTTTACAAATAAACTAAAATGTAGAGGAGTCAAGGCATTTGCCCCACAGAAAAGAATGGAGCTTGAATTTATCTGAAGCCAGTCTGTTGACCTCAAGGATCGTGCAGGGGGACTGACTGAGCTCAGACACGTCCATGAACCACATGCATGTGACACATGGGGCCCATTAAATGCCAGTTAATGTTGTCATTAAATTAAGTCAGATGTCCTCCATATTGTGCACTATCATTTTTTAAATGCACATAGCTCCATGATTTCCCTGGCAGTCCAGTGGTTAGGACTACATGCTTTCACTGCCGAGGGCCTGGGCTCAACCCCTGGTTGGAGAACTAAAATCCCACAAGCCACATGGCGTGGCCAAAAATATATATAAATAAATAAAATTTTTAAAGAAACAAATGCACATAGCTCCTTTTGGCAGTTATTAGAATGTCATTTCATTTTAAAATGAATCCAAACTTATAAGAGTTCTGACTGTATCTTGGGACTTCCTTGATGGTCCAGTGGGTAAGGCTCCAAGTTCCCAGTGAAGGGGGCATGGGTTCGATCCCTGGTCTGGGAACTGAGATCCCACATATCGCAGCTGAGCCCACAAGTACTGCAACTACTGAGCCCACGCATCCTAGAGCCCACGCCTAACAACTAGAGAAGCCTGTGTACCACAATGAAGACCCAGCGCAGCCAAAAAAAGAATAAAAAGAATTCTATCTTTACATGTCTTCTCAGTCATCAGATACTAAATACACAGGTACTATCATGTGGAGGATCTTGGACTTTGATGTTTGATGTTACAAAGAGCTTCTTAAACTTGAAAAAGCTTTAGCTTGGGGCAGTTGTTAAAATGACAGATTATCAGGCCCCCCACTCCAGACCTATTGAATCCAAATCTCTAAGGGGAGGACCCCAGGATCTGTATTTTTACCATGCTGTTTGGAGATTCTGATATGCGGCCAGGTTTGGTACCCAGTACTCCGGAGTCCCAGACCGAGTTGTTCTGTACTGATCTGATAGCTTTGGAAGGCCCCTGAGTGCCAGACCTGTGTCAACACCTGTTGGTTGAGGAGGCTGCAGGGTGGAGCCGAGCCATGTCCTGAAATAGTGGGACATTTAGGAATCAGTTAGTGATCTCTGCCATGAATACAGGGTTAGTGTCACCGCATAGGTTATCTTTGGCCTGCAGAAATACCTGTCCACTGACCTTTTTTGTGTGTTCTTCTTATTTCTAGTTAAAAACTTCTTCAGAGTGAGTTTCAAAAATGGATCCCAAAGTCAGACCCACTCATTACAAGCCAATGACACATTCAACAAACAGCAGTGGCTCAACTGTATTCGCCAAGCCAAAGAAACAGTTCTGTGTGCCACGGGGCAGGCTGGGGTCCTTGACTCTGAGGGACCATTCCTAGATCCCGCCACCGGGAGCAGGGAGCCACGGGGTGAAACAAAACTTGAGCAGATGGACCAATCAGACAGTGAATCGGATTGTAGCATGGACACAAGTGAGGTCAGCCTCGACTGTGAGCGCATGGAACAGACAGACTCTTCCTGTGGGACCAGCAGGCATGTTGAAAGCAACGTCTGACAGAAGCCTGTGCTTCCTGGAAGCAGCCCTGTGTCTTACCTGTACAGTATTTGCGTTCCACATGTGGAACGGTTCGGAGAAGCACTTTTTAATACTTTTGTGACCGTGTTGACCCAGCCTCTTCTGTCTGTACCTTTTTGTCTCTAATACTGTAACTGCCAATTTGTGTCAGCTGGAATCTGTGGCATCTGTTAGCCTGTATTGTTTTTCCCAAGTGTCTGGATGGGTGGATATGTACTTGAACAAGTTATCAATATTTTCACTGGTCCTGCTGGATTTTGAAAAACAGAAAGAAAACAACCTCTAAACTACTGTTTCATGTAGATTACTTTTAAAGGATCCTTCCGCGTTTCTCCAGTACTTTTCTAGCTCTTTGACAGAGTAGCTGAAGGCATGAATTTTCAAGGGCCTTGCAAACAGGGCATGAGGAAGTTACCTGTGTAATCGTGATGGTGTTTGAAGGAAACCAGGAAAGATCACTGTTTCAAGTTAAATTGATCCAATATCATTCAACCAAAAAGCAGGAAAACATCCCTGGGGATTCTGAAGGTTTAATTTTGCAAATTTGACCTTGCAATTTCATCCAATACAAATCTGATGCAATAATTTACTAGGACATGAAATAGAGTCTGACCTTAAAAGGATCAGCACAAAAGCAGCTGTCAGCTCTGAATCTTGAAGTATATATTGCATCAGGAGGTCTCTGCCAATAGATGCTGGCTGGCCTTAGATATGCATTTCTAGCCTAAAACATCAGAACAGAACTCATCGGGCCGGGGAAAACCTGGCAGGAATAGCAGAAAGGCCCTCTTCATTTTGTTTCATCTGCCTCAGCCCACTCATATTTTGCAGCATGAATGAAGAGATGACGGAGAGACTGTGGCTGCGTCAGTGACCCTGTTTACATAAACATGTGAGAAGAAGAATTTGGAAGAAGTCCTCCATCGTGACCTTTTGTCAGAAGCATTAAAAAAGAAAAGCAAAGTCCAGTGTCCTTCTGGGAAAGATCAGAGCCTGGGGTTTTCCTGCTCCACTTTCGGGTCATCATTTGCCATCACTGGCTCTGTGCTGGGATCAGAATCATAATTACATTCTCCAGAGGCTGACTTAATTAACTCCGTCATCAATCAGCATCAGTTGGCCAAACTAGTAACCTCTTTGTCTAGCCTTGATTTACAATGTAGGGTGAGCCGCAGACCTTTGAGAAAAAGTTAACTGAATACACAGAAAAGCTCTGCATGAGTGTAAATATTAAAGATGACTTGTGCAAAATTGTACCCACACCAGCACTAGTAGTGATGATTCTAAATTATTGCCAAAAAGTTTTTTTTTAATCTGTGACTTTCAAGTTTACACAAAGGAGAGCAGTAAATACTATGTTGTCATTTTATTATGTACATCTATCATGTGCATTCAGAAAGCTGTGTGATGAGATTTATCAATGTAAAAACAAGGTATAGTACTTATTTTTCAAAAATAAAAAAAAGTCATCAATTTTACCCTGTAAAACATATTTCTGTATTTATAGATTTTAAACTTGGTGAATTTTTTTTTCTATTACAAGTTTATTTAAACTGCTTTGTTTCTTAAGTTGTTATTGATTTACCAACTGACTGACTGAATCTGCTGCAGATAGAAGCAGAGAAAAGCCAAGAAAAGTTGTTTGATGGTGAAGAAAAGAATGAATCATTCTTTGAAGGAGCCATCGGCCACTTTGGCCAGCATGTTGAGAAAAGAGGTCTGTCAAGGACTGGCCTATGAGAAGAAAGTCAATGAATGTTTTCATGAAATGAATGTTTTTGTATAATGGCCTTAAACTTTTCTGGAAGCATTTCAAATAAATTACATTAAAAATGTCATTTTCTTGGTGTATAGTGTTTGCCCTACAAATACCAAACTTCCATTTGTCTTCCTGGGAGCTTCTTTCCAAAATTTCTGCTTGTACCCAAATACACATTACGATAGGGTGCAGGTTGAAATAAATGCTTTGATTTGATCTACCAAAGCTCTTGTAGAACTCATATTTCTAACGTCTGTTTTCTCAAGGACTCTTTGCTCTTTGTTATTTTAATTTAATTTTGGAGTGTAGCTGATTAGGAGCATTGTGTTGGTCTCTAGTGTATAGCAAAGTGATTCCATTGTATATATATACCTGTATCCATTCTTTTTCAGATTTTTTTCCCATTTAAATTATAGAATATTGAGTAGAGATCCCTGTGCCATACAATAAGTTCTTATTGGTTATCTGTTTGATGTACAGTAGTGTGTACCTGTCATTCCCAAACTCCAAATCCATCTTCCACTACCCTTGCCCACCCCCATAACCATAAATTCATCCTCTACATCTGTGAGTCTGTTTCTGTTTTATAAATAATTTCATTTGTATCTTTTTTTTTTTTAGATTTCTCATAGAAGTGATATCATGATAGTTGTCTTTCTCTGACTGACTTAGTATGATCATCTCCAGGTCCATCCATGTTGGTGCAAATGGCATTATTTCATTCTTTTTAATGATTAATATTCTGTTGTATATATGTACTGCATGTTCTTTATCCATTCATCTGTCAATGGACATTTAGGTTGCTTCATGTCTTGGCTATTGTAAACAGCACTACAGTGAACACAGGGGTGCATGTATTCTTTCCAGTCATGTTTTTCTCTGGATGTATGGGATTGCTGGATCATATGGTAGCTCTATTTTTAGTTTCTTAAGAAACCTCTATACCACTCTTCATAGTGGCTGTACCAATTTACATTCCCACCAACTGTGTAGGAGGGTTCCCTTTTCTCCATACCATCTCCAGCATTTATTGTTTGTAGACTTTTTGATGATAGCCCCTCTGACTGGTGTGAGGTGATATCTCATAGTTTTGATTTGCATCTCTCTAATAATAAGTGGCATTGAACATCTTTTCATATGTTTCTTGGCCATCTGTATGTCGTCCTTGGTGAAATGTCAGTTTAGGTCTTCTGCCCATTTTGCGGGGGGGGAGGATTTTATATATATATATAAAGCTGCATGAGCTTTTTAAGGAATTAATCCCTTGGCAGTCACATTGTTTTCAAATATTTTCTCCCATTCTGTCAGTTGTCTTTTCGTTTTGTTTATGGTTTCCTTTAGTTTGCAAAAGCTTTTTAATTTAATTAGGTCCAATTTGTTTATTTTTGGTTTTGTTTCCATCACTCTGACAAATCAAAAAAGATATTGCTGCAATTTATGGCAAAGAGTATTCTACTTATGTTTTCCTCTTAAGAGTTTTAGTGTCCAGTCTTACATTTAAGTCTTTAATCCATTTTGAGTTTATTTTTGTGTATGATGTTAAAGAATGTTCTCATTTCATTTTTTAACATGTAACTATCCAGTTTTCCCAACACTGTTTATTGAAGACACTGCCTATTGTATACTCTTGCCTCCTGCATTGTAGATTTATCGGCCATAACTGCATGGGTTTATTTCTGGGCTTTCTATCCTGTTCTGATGATCTGTATTTTTGTTTTTGTGCCAGAACCAAACTGTTTTGTTCACTGTGGCTTAATAGCGTAGCTTGAAGTCAGGGAGTCTGATTATTCCAGCTCCATTTTTCTTTCTCAGGACTGCGTTGGCTCTACTCACTTACTCATTTATTCATGTTTAACAACTATATCTTGAATCTGTACTGTGTGCCAGAGGATGTCATGATTGTTATAGAGAAGACGTGTTGAATATCACTGTTAGTATAGGTTACTGTTGATGAACTTGACACCAAATAATAGCAGGGAAATTTCGCTTTGAAATTCTTCTTGGAATTTTAGTCCACTTTTTTTTTTTTTAATTAAAATGGTTAGTTTAAGGTTCAGCAGTTTTAAGTACTTGACAGTCAATTCTCAGTAGCATATCGGCCCAGTAAGGCTGGTAGTTAATCTTATCATTATATAAGCCATCATCATTGTTGTCAACATGCTATTAATTCCCAGAGTAATTCAAGATTTTCACATAAATAAAAGTAAGTCCAATTTTTCCCCCAAGTGAAAACTCACTCCTTGTTCCCTCCTTTTCATCTTCCTCATCCTTCTCCAGTGCTCCTTTGGATGTTCCCTCCACTTTTGATTCCCTTGATTGTACTGATTTTATTACTAGAGAGTATGTCTCTACTAGTCTATTAGAAGATATTTGTACTGACATTTTGTGGGTTAGTACAAATGACTGAGGGCTAAATGGTTTTCTTCAGTCTGTTTTCAAGATGTTATTGGACACACAGCTAAATATAATTGTCTCAGAGTAAATGAAAGTCATAAGCAAAGAGCCAGACCTAGCAATTTTGTGCAAAATTAGAGTGTGGTTTCAGCTTCTGGTTAGTGGTCACCACCACCATCTCCTTTCGTTTCCATTCCTAGCACCATCTGCAGCAGCTGAGCATGCAGCACTCTTCTTAACTACAATCCTGTTTTAACAAAGTCTCTGTGGTTTCAGAAAATGGCAGCCCACCATGTTGGTACACAAGCTGTTCAACTTCCCATTTACATTCTGTCCACGTCCACCTTTAACTAATTCCCCAGAAGCCTGAGGATCCCTTGGAGATTTAATAAAGAGAGCAGCTCACCACACAATTTGACTTGGGCATGTTTTCTCCTGGATCCTCTCAGCTTTGTGGAAAAAGCCATTGATCATCACCTGTCACTGATGTGGTTGACTGATTTAATTCATGTTTATCTCATTTATTGACAGAATTCTAGAATTACAGTATTGGGAACTTGAAGAGGATAACTCCAGCCCCAACTCACCAGAAAGAATCTGAAGATCATGAACGTTTGAAACCTTCCCCATGTGAACACACAATGAGAAAAGTCACCTGTACTGAATGTACCTAGAGGATACTCATGCAAACAAGTTTGCAAAGCAGTAGTCAGTTCTCACTGCATCTTATTTCCTTCTTCCAGATTCGTTTGCACATCAGTCAGCTACATAGATCTGCCCACAGGAAGCAGCAGTTCATCAGTTGACCTGGAGGGTTAGCGAGGAA